GTTAGCAGCACCGCTAACGGCTAACCAACAGGAGGAGAGCTAGTAACATTAGCAGCACCGCTAACGGCTAACCAACGGAGATTTACTTGTTACATTATGATGCCTTCAGGCTCTGCTCAGTGAACATGAGTACTGGCTGAAGGTCCATTATAACGTTAGCATGATGTGTTCACATGTAATCTGTAAAATGTAGTTTTGGTAATAAACTAGAATACATCCAGTAATTTGAAGGAGATGTTTTCACGTTAATATAAAATAGATATTAGAGATGAATGAGCTGTTTAACTTAATAACACAAGCTCAGGTCAGGACTTAGTACGTGGATCAGGTTCAGGGTTTAACCCCTTTCACAGTGAACATGTGGGGATTCAGTGAATTCGACTCTTTCAACTTCTTTCATTGAGGGTTTTTTAAAGTTTGCCATCAGTGGAGACCAGTGTTGTCAGTTCTTATAATACATGCAACGTTTTGTTCATAATAACCTGGAAACAAAGACAATATACCTCTGATGGTATGTGACAAAACGTTATTGATGATAGATATGTGACTGAACCATCTCTATGAAACAGACAACTTCTCTACAAACTAGTGAGTCAGAAGCCTTTGTCTTAGTGTGGCGGTCCATCGTCTTCACACTGATGGAAACATGAGGAACAGATCTCTGCTGACTCTGCAGTCTCTCTCTCTCTCTCTGTCTGTGTTTCTTCTGCCTCGTCAGTTTGGTGTCCTGGTCTCTGGGTGGACTCCTGACACCTCTAATCCTCTGCCAGCTGCAGAGAGGCCTCTGTGTGTGTGTGTGTGTGTTTGTGTGTGTGTGTGTGTGTAGGGAAATGAGAGCTGTTGATTGGTTGACGAAAGACTATGTGCCCTCAGGAAGAAAAGAGAGAGAGGCTCAGGAAAAGAAGCCAGAAGGTGGTCTCCCCCCTCAGGTGGAGGTGTTTTCTTAACAATTGATGACATATTAGGTGTCAAGTCAGAATATAAAAGCGTTCTGTGTCACCGTCCGTGCTTCCAAAGAAAGAGGTTTTAATATTCAGAATTCTCCTGAAGTGTTAGGTTTCGACAACTAAACTACTTAGTTAGGATTATACAACAAAACTACTTAGTTAGGTTTAGACAACTAAACTACTTAGTTAGGATTAGACAACAAAACTACTTAGTTCAGTTTAGACAACGAAACTACTTAGTCAGGTTTAGACAACGAAACTACTTAGTCAGGTTTAGACAACAAAACTACTTAGTTACATTTAGACAACAAAACTACTTAGTTAGGATTAGACAACAAAACTACTTAGTT